CAGTGAACTAACAGCCGAGTTTGATTTTCCCTTTTAAGGTATTTAAATTAAAATAAACCATTAATTTTAATTTTTATATATGTATATATATACATATACACCTTTTATATATATATATATATATATATATATATATATATATATATATATATATATATATAAAGTGAGCATTGAAGTCAACAGTCAGAGGAAAACAGTCTGTTTCCGATGATTTTATTAGCATGAAAACAGAATGTTGCCTCTGGATGTTAACTTCAGTATCCCTCTATTATATTTACATACGCTCTATCCCTGATATTAAGCACTTCAACCCATAAATCCAGCATGCATTAAACTATATTTTATTATATATATATATATATATATATATATATATATATATATATATATATATATATATACTCTCTCACAGACGCGCCGTCACCTCTCTCTGTCTTTTTCTAAAATACTTCCATGGTAACTGCTCTGACGAGCTGCTTTCACTGGTTCCCAGACTCCATGAATTCAAGCGCCCTATGAGGCTGGCATCCCGCTCCCACCATTATACTGTAGAAACTTTCAAATGTAGCCGTCTCTTCTACTTCAATAGCTTCATACCTCGCACCTCTCTGAAGGCTATAATCTCCAACTATTCAAATGTAATGTCAACCGACATCTCCAGTTACCTTGATCTACCCACTATCCTTCTCCTCATCCTTTCTCCTATCACTCCTATCTGCTCGCTCCAAATCTTCCAAACCCCCCCCGCATCCTAGTGGCTTCACGCTTTGCTTAATGTATAATATATATATATATATATATATATATATAGATAGATAGATAGATATAGATATATATATATATATATACATATATATATATATATATATATATATATATATATATATTATTACCAAAACTTAAATCTTAAACAAAACTTAAAATTTGAAGCATTTGGGCATTTAAAATAAACAAATAAAACACCAACAGTAAAATGGAAACTAATTAAAAAATGAGAACATGTACATCTTTAAATGACCCATGTTCTTTGTGCCTGCATGAAAAGTTATATATTATTAAGTTTCTAAGAAATAAAAATTTATTAAATCAAAGAAATGAAATAACAGTTTTAGACATTGCCTTATATTTTCCTTAAAATATTTAATTACAAACATAATTTGCATAATTATATATTTATTAATTGATTATAAATATATTCATTAATGTGTAATTTAATTCTAATATGTAATTTTACAATACCATACATAGTTTATTAGTAAATAAAATAAATATAGTATTTTAGAAAACTAGAAAATAAATAAATAATAAATATAAATGCCAAATTATTGTAACTCAAAATAAAATTTTTAAAAATTAATAAAAATAAGGCCTTGATGACACGTCCACATGTGAGGAAGTTAAGTATCAACAGACAGAAATCTCTAACCTCCACTTAACTTTAACTGACTTTCAATTTGCCACATAACAATTATACTTATATTTTTCATTCATCAAAAAAGCCAACACCCCCTTAATAAAAATTTAATAGTAATTTCTGTGCCATGATGGTAACATATCTTTAAAAAAAAAATTATAATATTGTGCTCTACTGTGTATGGAGCATTGTTTTTTAAAAATAAATGCTAAAGAAGTTTGTATTATAAATCTGTTCTTTCTTTTTATTTTTGATATATATATATATATATATATATATATATATATATATATATATATATATATATATATATATATATATATACTGATGTTAACACTGAACATCAACAGCCTGTTTCATACTTAAATGCAATCTACAGGCCTGAATGTTGTGTCCAATCATAAAACAGACTGTTGCCACCCAATGTCATATGCTCCAGTCCAGATATTGGGCACTTTCACCTCTAAATATAGAATAGCTTAAATCTATATTTTTTGCTTGATGCACATGTACAGGTGTACACACACACACACACACATAGATACATGCATGCACACACAGACACATATCAAGAAGAAAAATCAACCAAACATTAATAAAAAAAGGCCATAAATGAGTTTTTTAAATTACTATAAAAATAGCGAAAACAAGAAAATTGGCAGACACTTGCTGATATCTCCTGATGAGTGGACGGAACAGTTACACAAGCGTTCAGCTATGAAACTTGAGACTAGAAGTGCCAAATTTAATGTCAAACAGCTAAGTGACACATTTTATATTTGTATTAATCATATATATATATATATATATATATATATATATATATATATATAAAAAGAAATATACTCTTAAGGTGTGCTATATTTATGGGATAAAGTGCTCAATATCAGAGAAAGAGCATGTGTAAATATATATATATGAGAACTTTTCTGCACTTACTCATGTTGTGAGCAACCAGGGTGAAGGGCAGGATTCTCCCTCTAACTTGATCATTAAGTCATTTGCACTTAGACTTGTGTATATTTCTACCCAATAAAGGTTAATTGTGCAGTATGACTGTTTCATGTGACCTCAACTTTAGTTTCCACATTAACAAGATTATATTCAGAATACATCCATTTGATGCAAAGCATCGGAAAAGTAGCAACATACACCCAACTATATCCACACATACATAGAGATGTGTATGAAGCAATTGAAAGAGTAAAAAAATTCTGTTCAACATGTTTCACCTCTAAAAGGACTTTATCAGAATAAAGTAATGTTCTTATTTATTGAATTATATAAGTGAATGGAGAGATATAAGCATAAAACATCAAGTATAAATATGCACTGAGTAGAAGTGATGAAGATGTGGGAATGCTAATTTTTTTTTATATTTGAGTTTTAAAATTGTGTCTGGACATACAGCCGAGCCAATCTCATTCGGCTTCCCTGTTTGCCTCAAGGTCCTTATGACATTTCATGTTGACAGATGTTCTACTGTCAGAAAATGAGACACAGGGTCTTGATGACTTTGAGTTCTGTTCCTATAATATATTCTAACACAATTTTCCATGTAACTCAGAAAGTACCTATGATTTTCTATGACTAAGTACTTACATCACTCACCTATGCTAATACAATAGTATCTAGGAGTTAACTACTTATTTCTATGACATATGTTAACATAATTAGGACAAAAAAAAACACATGGATCACAAATATAATACATATAATGAAATGAACTGAAAATAATATTTATATAACAAAATGAAATTGTTTTAAGCTGCTTATATATTTATTGCCAGTGATGTCATTGGCTCTCAGTAGATGAGATGATGAAGCGTAAGATCTTGTCTCTCTTGCAGTTACTTGGAAACAGCAGCAAATCTGGGGAAGAAAGAAAAACAAATGTGAGTTTGTTTATCTTTTTTATCAGGAATTCTCCAACTTATAGTTTAACAAGAAAATGTCCTTATCTCTTACAGAGAAACTCAATATGTATACACACATGTACCTGTTTTAAGCAACAGTCAAATAAGCAACTGGCTAATGTTCGTCAGAGCATTTAACAATGTCTAATTTCACTTCATTTAAAGCACCACCATCAGAAGAGGTTAAACTACACTTAGGAGCCATAATGAAGAGCAATAAGTTTCCACAAACACAACGCAAATGAAGGAGAGTGAATGCACAACAATTCAATATGGCAAATGTCACCTTATGTATATGAGGAAAAGAGGATAAGTCAAAACAAAATTAAGGGAAATTACGTCATAACAACGAATCATTGTAGGTTGGGACTGTCATAACCTGGGGACTTACTGTATTTAAAAACAACAGCAATAAAAACATTATTCTGATATATAGAAATTTATATATCATATTCTCCCAGTTAGAAATTTATTCAACATGTATACCCACACATTTATATACATTTAGGGATATCTATATAAATATAAACATAGATTTTTTTTTATGTGTATTAATTTGTTTTTGCTATATATATATATATGGGGACTTACTTTGTATTATAAAATGATTAACATATATATTTTTATTGCAATAAAATATTATTTTAAACATTTTATTATTCTTTAAGATATATAGAAATTTATATATTGGTGTCTATGTGTATTCTCCCACATTAACTGTGTGTGTGTAAAGTGTTAGTTTCACGTCTCCTTTTTTCGTAAATTTATTCAACATGTATACCCACATTTTTTAAGACCATATTCATTTAGTAAAAAATATATACATGGATATCTATAATTTCAAATATATATAAACATAGATACATATATATATTTATATATAATATTAAATTTTATCAGAGAGAGAGATTTAAAAGATAAATAGATAATAGATAAGCTTTTGAATCTTTCTGATTGGATTATTCTATATTACAGAGAAGGATCGTTAATATAATTTAAAATTTATTTTCTCCACCATTTGAAAGAACAAGTGTTCCTATTTTGATCAATCCATACTTATTTATGAATAAAAATAATTATATATATATATACTGGACATATATTACAGAGAAGCAATATAATTTAAAATTGACTTTTTAAAGAAGACTGATCACATTTTACAATTCTCTGACCATAAGTTCAATTCTCTGACCATAGTTCAATTAGGACTCATTTAAACACACACGGAAACCTATCAAACTCCATTGGCAACATACAATGAAAATATATTACATGTAATAAGTATAATTGCCTCCTTCACATGTACAAAAAAAACTAAAAATAAGGACTAATAATAAAAAGAAAAAGCCAACACTCTATAACATCAACTATGAAGACAGCCACATAAAAACATTCCCACCACTCTAGAAACATATATATAAAAATCTACACATTAAGTTGAAAATAAAAAACAACCTTGAAAATGATAGAATAGTAGAATAGCTGAAAGCACTCATATATATATATATACTCCTATATATAGAACATTCTGAACAATTTTTACACACTTTATGTCCAAAAAAGAAATCACTTATATGAACACAAGAAAAATTAAATAAAAAGCTTAATCACAGTAGCTTGTAAGGCATATTTAATGAAACTTATTTAAAGAAGGATTGCTGCCCAAATACACAATTAGATAGATAGATAGATAGATAGATAGATAGATAGATAGATAGATCCGCCTTGTTCAGATGTTTTTAGTTATTTCTTTTTATTTCAAATTTTTTCCTAGGTTACCAATTTGTTTTGTTGAGGTTTTTTACCAAACAAGTATTAGTATATATATATATATATATATATATATATATATGTGTGTGTGTGTGTGAATACTGCACAAATGTTTTAAAATGTTTCCAGTAGATAGTTCAAGTTTTGACTAATCCATTTAAATAGTTTTTTTTAAATAGTTATCTTAATAACTTAGTTACCTCCCTTGACATTACTGCACAAGTATGCTTACATCATAAAATTTAAAAATTGTACAGAACATAAGTTAAGCATTTTTCAGTTCACAAACAAAATAATTAATTATCAGATAAATGCAACTCCCTTATAATACATAGCTCTGAAGATGACATTTTGCTAATGTCAAAAGTACTCAGAATAAAGGAATATGCATCAATATGATAACTTTCTATCTTCCTTTAATAAGGATACTAAGAAACTTGTCCATGAATATGAGATGATCATATTAAAAATGAGTAGACAAAACTTGTCTAAATTATTCAATGCAATATGTCTTAATATATATATATATATATATATATATATATATATATATATATATGTATATATATGCATATGTATATATATATATATGCATATATATATATATATATATAAAAATATAAATTTAAATATATATATATATATATATATATAATGAAGATTATAAATTACACATATACATATACACACATATATATATAATATATATAAATGTAGGTACCAAGAATTCAATTCAAAATTTGATTGTGATGAGCAACAAGTTATTTGAAAATTGTAAAACTACAATATGATTAAACAGACAAACCTTGTCATTTGTATATAATAAAATTTAATTCATTCAATTCTTGCTGCCTAAATATATAGTATTTAAATGTCATGCCTTTGTAATAAACAGGAATACTAACACCATAAAATTCAAACTTATACTTTGACATTAACCAATGATAAGAGCTGACATTTCATCAGTGAAATAAAAAGAAAAACTGAAGATGCCCTGAGACTCTCTGAAACAATATGGAAATACAAAATTATCTTTCTGCAACAATAAAAAGGGGAACGTTAAAGATAAAAATATCCTGAAAGTAGCAATCAATATCAGTCAGCATCAGCTGAGTGCATTTGAGAAGTCAGTACTAAACAAGGGTTTCTACTTTGCCACCACCAATAGGCAGATACCAGTACTTGGACATCATTGCCCAAATCAAGGAAATAGGACTTGAATATCCCTCAGGTTTGGGCGGATGAACTAAGGTGGAAAGTTACTGGAGAAAGTCAAGCTGCCCAAATCAAACATCATGAAACATCATCATACTACCAGCTGACAAAGGCAATGTGACTGCAGGGATGGAGAAATTGAAATATACAGAAAAACTGGAAAACCTCATTAGAAAAGTTAGATACTGTAAAATAAAGAACAAGGACTACTTCCTACCTGAGACATACAAGTAGTTGTTGCAGCATTACACCAAGCTAACTCACATATACAGTCTCCCTAAAATTCACAAAGATGGTATTCCACTCAGGTCAATTGTTAGCTGCCAAGGCTCTGTGTGCCACACTCTTTCTTTGTAGATATAATTGACCTATTAATAGGAAAGTCACCTTCATATGTCCAACTCTCTACCCACTTCATGGAAATAATCAAAGATCCTCCCATCCAATCTAGCCAGATAGTGAGCCTAGACATGGCGAGTTTGTTCACAAAAGTACTCACAGAGGAGGCACTATTGGTAGTCAAGGAGACTGGCCTTGAACTGATGCCTAGGAGAACAGATCATTTTACCAATAGATAACCTAATAAAGATGCTAACTTTCTGTACACAAAAAACACTTCGGAATAGGATTAGACATATATTGATAGGATGAAGAATTAGCAATGGGCTCACCATTATCACCAGCAATGGCAAACATATACACAGAATACTTTGAAGAAATGGCATTTAAATCCACATCACTAAAGCCAACCCAATGGCTGAGATATGTAGATGACACCTTCATACTCTGGCCACACCAGGAAATACTGGACCATGTGAACTCAATAAGATCATTGATACAGTTCACAATGGAGAGAGAAAATTTCAACAAACTTGCATTACTGGATGTACTAATATCTCAAGCAGAGCATGGGTTCAAGACATCCATATACTGCAAGCCAACATTCACTGAACAATACCTCAACTTCAATTCCCACAACCCGTACAGTGTAAAGAAAGGGATCGTATGCTGCTTACATTGAGCAAAAGTCATGAGTGGTGATCCAGAGACATATGAACAAAAAATGGTCGGTATAACAACTACCTGGGTAAATGGCAGCATCTCCCACAAACTGGGATAGAAGGATACAAGAAGATAACAATGCAGAAAACTGCTTTAGTCTGCCTACGCTATGTGAAGGGATTATCGGAAAAAGTACAAAAGATCTATGGTCTATATAATATCAGGCCAGCCTTCAAAAGTGATCCAACACTTTGCAAATACTTCTTCCAAGTAAGACTCATATAGAGGACAACATGGCTAAGGACTGTGTGAAAATCATCCTGTGCAGATGTGGTAAGAAATATAAAGGAGAAACAAGATGTCCTTTAAGGTAAGACTGCAAGAACATTGTAAAGCTGTAACACAAGGGGGAAATAGAAAAATCAGGCATATCTGACCACATATGGAGGGAAAAGGGAGATCACTGTCCTCTGTGAGATGAAGTTGAAATAATAGACAGATAACACCACTGAAAAATGCAAAAACTTAAGGAATCAGCACATATGCTAGGCCACAAAAATCTCCTGACCCGACCAAGCTTAGAAATGAATACAATATGGGAACCAGTAATAAGGAGTGCCAGAGAAAAGCAATAATAACAGCAAAAATTGCAATATGAGCTCTGGTAAAATAGTTACTGAGGCATTAAGTTATAAGTTTGTACACTGATGTCCTCAAGGACACATGACCCAGTGGATAAAAATGTTGGTTAGATCCAGTGACTTGACCCAAAGTGTTGTGAGTTCAATACCTAGCTACAGCAGCGATGAAGAGAATGTTGGAGAATTGAGTTAAAGGGAGATAACTGAGACATCCAGAAGAGACATGGAACTAGAACAATGTACTTTACTACACAAAAAAATCCAAATCTTAAGCAAAGAATGATTTTGTTAGTTGATCTCATAAAAAATAAAATTAAATTTACAAAGAAAAAAATAATTAAAAATAAATAAATACCTAAAGTTCAAGATGATAAATGATGCAAAGAATTAGCCTTAAACAAAATAAATGGAAGGGCCAATTTCCTCCTTCCCCTATTTTTCTTAATCACCCAGGCATATATATCAAACCCAGTAGTGATAGATGGTTTGAAGATTGCTTGAAAATGATTCTCATTATGCAGTATTGATTACACTTAAATACTTGGAAGAAACTCTGTCAAAAGATGACACCAGTGATGCAGAAATCTGTACATGAATCACGATAACCACTGCAGCTGATCATATCCCCATGCTCCTCTATGGGTGTGAAACTTGAACGTTCCATGTTGAGACAGAAAAAAAATCCAGGTGTTGTGAGAATAAATACTTGAGAAAGCTCCTCTTCGTCAAAAGTCTTGTGGACTGACAGGAATCTCTTTTCATTGCAAATAAGTGTCGGAAGATGCCATGGTTTGGCCACGTCACACAGCATAACAACCTCTGCAAGACGATCATGCAAGGCAATGTTAAAGGTGGAAGCAAGTGATAACAGCAACACAAAAGCTGGTCAGATCACATCAAAGACTGGACAGACATGTCAATGCCAGAACTCCTGAGAGACACCATTAACAGATAATCCTGGAGGGAGGTGGCTATTTCTTCTGCCTTTACATCCTCAACCACGAGGATTGAACCAGTCAAGGGACTAATGATGATGATTCTTTGTAATAAAACTATTCTCTGTAACTCAAAAAAAGTTTTGTGCAAATGTTAATGAATAAGCTTTTATATAAAATAGTGGAATGGACATAACTTCATTTTATAATCATCATTAGCCCAAGATATCATATCATTTTAGAATCAGGCCGACTCTGTGAGCAAATTGAAAACATTCTAGGCTAGATCTAGAACCACAATCCTGAAATTTTTGATTCTGAAGTTTTCATTACTGCTATTGTTTTTGGATTCCACCATCTTGGCTTCTACTGATAAAAACAATTAAAAAGGGACACAACTTTCTAACTTTCAATAGCTCATGTTCAAATGAAAAAATTACCATTCTCAAATTACAGTGTTTCAAAATAAAATTGTCCATGTTTTCAACTTTATTTCTAGAAGCAGTAGCCCAACATATTATCCTATTTTGAAATCAGGCCAACTCTGTCGGCAAATTAAAAATATTCCAGACCGGATCTGGACCCACAATTCTGAAATTTTCATTATTGTGATTTTTTCAGCAATTTTTGCACGTGATTTTTTGCAAAAAATTTTTTGTATTATAACAATTTTTATAATGTGAAAATAGATTTAGGAATAACCAAAATTAATTGAAAAATTTAGCAAAAGTCACCCATGAAATAAAATAATTGTTTGTCCAGGAACAAACATCAAAGTGTTATTAACTTAAGTGGCAGCAGAAGAATTATCATTGAAGTTTTAAAAGGTAAGCTTAAATATTAATGCAATATTTAAATGCAGCGATCAATTTTGTATTCTTCTGTAGTTTATTGTTGCCTATAACATCTACTGCTCCTTATTGTGATGAAGGCCTCAAGAGCCCTCCAAAGGAGCTAGTTCTTTACATTTGTTTTTTTTTTTAGTGTAAACAGTTTGTTCATTCATATTTTATAATTCCCTCTCTCTCTTTTTTATCTCTCCTCTCTAAAATGGAACTAATCTAGAAATCTGATCTACAAGACAACCTCAAGCAAGGATTCTTTGAAACTACTGTAGAGGTAAATCTTAATGTATGGAGCCACTATCTCTGGACATTAACT